TAATGATTGATTTTTTTCATAAAAATTTTGAATTGTGATTAAAATGTTATGCATTATATTTTTAGATGCTCATATAAATGGCATGTCAAATGGTTTTGACAAAAAAAGGGAACATAAATCTGAACATAGGGATAAAGACAAGGAACGATCTCATAAATCAGACCATAAGGATAAAGAGAGAAGCAAAGAAAAAGATAGAAATCATAAAAGTGAACACAGAGATAAAGAAAAAGACAGACATAAACATAGTTCCAGTTCTATTAAAGAAAAAGATAAACATGAGAGCAGCAATAGTAACAAAGACAAGGATAAGGATAGGAAAAGTAGCTCATCATCAAGTAAGGATAAAGATCATAAAAGCAGCAGTTCCTCAAGTAAAGATAAAGAGAAAGATAAAAGCAAGGATAAAGAACATCATCATAAATCTAGTTCTAGTTCCAGTTCTAAGGATAAAGAGCGGTAGAAATCTTTTAATATAGTTTTGAATTTAATATATAGTATTTTGTTTACATAAAAAAAAACTATGTTACAGGCATCATAGTAGTTTGAAGGATAAAGAAAGCAAAGAGAAAGACAAAGACAAAAGCAAGGATAAGGATAAATATAAGCACAGTTTAAGTTCAAGTTCTGGAGACAAGGATAAGGATAAAAGTGTCTCCAAAGATAAAGATAAAGAGAGAAAACATTCATCAGAGAAGGACAAGGAAAGACATTCCACATCTCGTGCAAATGACAAGGAAAAGCATCGCTCTTCTGAAAAAGATAAAGTAAAGCATAGTGTATCCAACAAAGATAAACACCGTCATGATAAAGACAAAGATCGACATCGTCATGACAAAGAAAAATGTGAGTTATAGCGCTCAGTGTATAGTGAAACTGTAATTATAAATTACATTTTTGTTTAATTTTATTTGCAGCAAAACATAGGGAAGATAAAGATAAGAAGGATAAGGAAAAAGAAGAAATTAAGTTAAAGGAAGAGGTAATGGATGTGAAACCTAATCACATAAAAAATGAAGAATTTCATTATGATGTTGATCAGATGTTGAAGCAAGAATTAAAGGAGGTATACATATATGTTTTTTTATGTTATATTTTTCCTTAGTCTTGAAATCAATAAATTGTAGCAATAAAGCAGTTTAAAATAGCAAATTACGCTGTAGGAACCTGTGTCGCAAATTGAACCTGAGGATGATGATGACAGTGGTGGAGAGCAACCACTATATATTAAGGAAGAAGAGGATGAAGAAGAACCTGTTAAAGAAGAAGAAGGTAGTATGGATTCATCTGATGGAAATGATACAAGACTTTCAGATCTCCATAATACAACTATTAAAACTGAAGAAGAATCAGATGAAGATATGCCATTAGTAGGTTAAATTCATATTGTACTTTCAACATTTAAAAAACTGTATTTTATATATCATAACTATCATATAGAGTGCAAGATCATCCTTGGTCCCCACAAGAGTTAAAAGACGTCTTGGGTCAGATGAAGAGGAAGATGTTCCACTTTTTGCACGCAAAAAGTCCAAAAAAAGTGAAACAAAAACAAAGAAAAAGAAACGAAAACATAAAGATGACGATGATGACGAAGAAACTGAACAAGTAATGCTCTATGCTGCATATGTTTACAACATAACTTTGTAGTATGAATTGGATTTAAGAAGTGGTTATAATTTGATCTTTTTACAGAAACCAAAGAAAAAAAGCGCTAGGGCATCAAAAGGAGAAAATTCAAGTCCAAGAAAGAGAAAAAAAGAAGAAGAACAAGAAGTTTGGAAATGGTAAAAATTTTTTTATCATTTGAAACTCCCGCGAAAATAGATCCGTGCAGAAATAAGGTTATGTGACTTAACCTTTATTTGTAAATTCGGTATGATAAAACATGATTTAAATATATGTACATACATATAAATTTTTTAAGTTAGATATGTTTAAAATTACTAGAATTATTGGAATACTTACTACAAAAATTTTACTTTTTAATTGTAGTAAAAAATGTTGTGTTAAATCCAAAATTTTTAAACGTGTATGTGTTTTGAGGTTACGTGTTGCTGTCATGTAATATGCTCTTAAGATTATCCTATTAAAATTAAAAAATAAACAGTGTAAAATAAAAATAAATGAAAATTATTTTAGGTGGGAAGAAGAAAAGAAAAACGATGGAACAAAGTGGACATTTTTAGAGCATAAAGGACCAGTATTTGCACCTCCGTATGAACCACTTCCACCTGACATAAAATTTTATTATAATGGAAAAGAAATGAAATTAAGCCAAGATGCAGAGGAAGTTGCAACTTTCTATGCACGCATGTTAGATCATGATTATACTACAAAACCGGCGTTTAATACTAATTTTTTCCATGATTGGAGGGAAGTAATGACTGAATCAGAAAGGACTAAAATAGTTGATTTAAGTAAATGTAATTTTAAAGAAATGCATGCATATTTTCTTCAAAAAAGTGAAGAGCGAAAAGCAATGACGAAAGAAGAGAAACAAAAGATAAAGGAAACAAATGAAGAAATTCAAAAAGAATATGGTTTTTGTACCATTGATGGACACAAAGAAAAAATAGGTAATTTCAAAATTGAACCTCCTGGTTTATTTAGAGGTCGTGGTGAGCACCCTAAAATGGGTAAATTAAAAAGAAGAGTTATGCCTGAAGATATTCTTATCAATTGTTCCAATGACTCTAACATACCAAAGCCACCACCAGGCCATAAGTGGAAAGAAATTCGGCACGACCCTAGTGTTACTTGGCTTGCATCATGGACAGAAAATATTCAAGGACAAGTGAAATATGTTATGCTTAATCCATCAAGTAAACTTAAAGGAGAAAAAGATTGGCAAAAGTATGAGACTGCTAGAAAATTAGCACAATCAATAGATAAAATTCGTGCTGAATATAGAGAAGATTGGAAAAGTAAGGAAATGCGTATAAGACAAAGAGCTGTTGCGTTATATTTTATAGATAAATTAGCTCTCAGAGCTGGTAATGAAAAGGATGAAGATCAAGCAGATACCGTAGGTTGTTGCTCTTTGCGAGTAGAACACATTACATTGCATGAGCAAAAAGATGGAAAGGAGTATGTAGTTGTATTTGATTTCTTAGGTATGTTTAGTTATTTTTTTAATAAAATCAGATAGGAATACAATCCTAGTTATATGTACGTGTGTTTTATTTTACTACATTTGTAGGTAAAGATTCTATAAGGTATTATAATGAAGTGCCAGTAGAAAAAAGAGTATTCAAAAATTTACAACTTTTTATGGAAAATAAATCACCAAGTGATGATCTATTTGATCGTCTTAATACAACTGTTATGAATAAACATTTAAATGAATTAATGGAAGGTCTTACTGCTAAAGTATTCAGAACATATAATGCTTCGTGGACATTACAGCAACAATTAGATAAAATAACAAATCCTGATGAGTCAGAAGCAGAAAAAATTTTAACATATAATAGAGCAAATCGAGCTGTTGCAATACTATGTAATCACCAACGTTCAGTGCCTAAAACACATGCGAAATCTATGGAAAATCTAAAAGCAAAAATAGAGGCTAAAAAGCAAGCTATAAATGATGCAGAACTTGCTGTAAAGGATGCTAAGCAAGACGCAAAACATGGATCTGTTAAAGAAAAAGTGTATGTTAATTATAAGTTTAATTATTTAGAGTTTAAGAGTTATAAATATCCTATTGTACACGTATTGTTACAGTGTGTATGAAAAGAAGAAGAAGACACTTGACAAATTAAAGGAACAGCTGACGAAGCTTGAAGTTCAAGCAACAGATAAGGAGGAAAATAAAGAAATCGCATTAGGCACCTCCAAACTGAATTATCTAGATCCTAGAATTACTGTGGCATGGTATTTTTAATTCCACTTTTCTTGTATACAAAACATTATTTAGTCAAAATTTAGTAATAAAATATCATTTTTTTTTTTTTACTGTTTAGGTGTAAGAAGAATAACGTCTCTATCGACAAGATATATAATAAAACCCAAAGGGATAAATTTAGATGGGCAATAGACATGGCAGGACCTGACTATGTATTTTAACACCGTGGAAGATTGATTATTACAAAGAATAACTCCCACTGATTGTATTTAGTGAATTTTTCGTTGAAATAATTGGGAGAAAAGTAATGGTATAATTTTCTATATTTACAAAAGATAAATGTGAGAATGCGGAGACATATTTTATATAGAACACTGCGTTAAATTTCGGTACAGACTTTATATTCAGTATGTAATCGACACATGTAGTTTCGAATTGATCGCTTAGCAAACATTGCGTGAAAAATTTTAGTGGTCGCATTTGTATGTAGGCGTTTAATTGATCTTATAAATACTAGAATTGAAAATTGAATAGTTTGACAAAAATTTAAATTCTTTAGGTAGAAATTTATAATATTTGAGAATTGCAAAGGCAAGATTTGTGCAAGTAATCTAAATTTGGAGGACATAGCTCAGAGTCACTTCATTAGAACAGAAATTTTACGACCTCTGAATTTAGAAATGCACAATAAGCATGGGCTGTTGCATTGTAAATAGAATTATCCATGAAAACTTTGCCAGCCGATGAAAGAAAAAAGGTATATATGTGTATTAGGTCTATGAAAACGCGTCTGCCGAATGAGCAGCTAATTTTATATTCCTTTAATTTGACTTTTCTTATAAATGTATAGTATCATCAATGAAAAGTTATTTGTATTACGCATTATGACATTCTGAAATATTAGAGTCTTACGCTCTACGTGAATTTTTTAGTGTAAAATTTATTAAATTGATATTGTGGTTAGTAACTTTGATTGGAATATACTGTCCCAAAAAATAATTATTATGATATAGTAATGTATTTAAAAAGTAAATCATCGCTTTTAGCGATTTATGTTTTATAAAACAATGTTTAGACTATAATAAATGTGAACACAGTGTATCCTTAACATTTTTTAAATATTTGTACACTTAAAAACCTTGTGATCATCATGGTACAGAATACTATAAAAAAACCTACTGATTTCAATATGTTAGAAATTAGTTGTCACACTCATACATACTTAGCTGAGTTCTGTTTAAAAGTTTCATTCATAATGAATTATTGTCATTCTAGTAAGTATAAATCCATACTTAGTAGCAAAATACTCGAATTTGTTGAAATATTTTTTCAAAATTCTTGACTATATATAATGTATATCTGTCGATCATTTGTACAAGATATTCTTCTACATTAAAAGAATATCTTTGTTTATGTGACTAATGGGACTCAAATTATACATTAGTGTCTGAGAGTATGAGATCTTATTTTAATCTGTTATAAGTAAATCATATCTAGAATAAATCAAGCTATTTGCCTATTTATCTTGGAATGTAGAACAGGGACGAGTAATAATTTTCAATAGCTTCGAATATATTAATTTTAAATAGGTTGTAGATTCCAAAGTAAATGTATTAATTCTTTCACAGTTATATTCATTTATCCTAATGAATTTGATGTTGGTTACTCGTCGCTGACAAGATATTCCTACGACTCTGTGTTGTATGCATATAAATGTACACGATCTTTTACACCCATACTTATATATAAATGTATATTTAAGGAAGCTGCAATGATACAATGATACGAATATGTAATCAGAATAGTGGTTCTTTATAACTTTCATTTTAAAGCATTACTAATCATATGTTAGTACATTTTATTTAAAACTATGGAATATAAACTAATGCGTTTTAAGAAACGTTGTAATGTTATTGAAGACCACTATTCTCACAAAACTGCCAATTATTGTGCGATGAATCGTATAATTTAATCGTCTGCTGTGCTACAGAACTAGTTTCTGAGATCCAGATCAATTTAGTAGGTTTCCAGTTTCATTAATAATTAAAAAAAAGAAATAGTATTTCACTTATTTCGAACACTACTATTTAAAATAGTAAACTCTTATAATGTATAATATATTTTTATATTACTTTTTTCCGAATACTGATGATTATGAACTTTACTGTACATGAAACTGGTACTGTATATCAGACTAAATTAATTTATACGATGATCAAGTAGACTGAATTTAAGATACATTTGTGCATATATATGTCACATTGTTCTTAATTTACTTTATTAAAATCATTTGCAATATAGAAATTAGTGACTAATTAACATGACATATTATAATGAAATACAATCAGTAAGTAGGCCTCGGATATCAAATGTTTTATGCACATAACATCAAATAATATAACATTTTTAACTTTTACAAGAAGTGAAGATAAAAATACAATCGACATCTAGTACAATGAAGTCAGCACAAATTGAAGGTGTATGTATATTTCGGACATTATCATTTCTATACGATACTGGAGTAATAAAACATATAGTGCCGAAGGAATAGTTGATTTATTTATATAACCACTTTATTTTTAAATGTTTGCGTATGTTCGACTCACAGAAAAATGATTCAAAATAACAAACGTTTATTGCATTTTAAGGTGAAAAAAATAGAATTGGATAATACCCTTTATTTTTACTGGTTTATTATTAAAGAGCAAAGTACAATAATATACTATTATATTACTGTTACAGTTAGTGATGATAGAAATAAATTATTAATAATTTAAATGAAATAATCATGTAAATTTGTAATAAATATTAAAGATGTAAAAACATACAAACATAACGTCCCATATGTGTGTAATACGATTTAGTCCCAAATCAAATAAATATTAAATATGTTTTTTTAATGGAAGTTTCAAGCCAGAAAATAATTAAAACATATAAACAACATGATTTGCAAGTTCAAACAGTACATATACCAAAAGTAAAACTTAGAATCAAACTATAATCGAAAAAGCATAAAAGTACAGTTGTAATTTACATTCTGGCTAATGAAACATTCGTAATAAATATTGTAAACTTTAATTGAAAGGAGAGAAGTAATAACGTAACAAAAACTTCCCTATTGAAGTACAATTTTAGATGTAACAAAAACAAACTCGTGAATTAATGACGGTACGAATATTTCTTTATGTAGTATTAAAAACTAACGCTAGTCATTAATTACACAAAAATCAGCTCGAAAGCAAGGAAATGTTTTTATCTCTCCGTACAATTAATAGTACATACTACATAGTACCATTGTTTTAGTATATAAAATATAAAATGTCGATTTAAGATTAAATGAAATTTTTTTTTGGTTATTATGTCACAGCAGAGTAATTACCAAAATGGTAGTTCCTACTTTAAAAAGGTAGACTAGACTATGCTAAATCACTATTCCGTTACGTTTATTATGCGTAACAAAATAAATATTATGCGTGAAAAATTATGGCATTCTTTGAATGCTTATATAAATTAGGTTCTAAAATGTTAAATCTAACTTCAATTGTAATACCAATTAACATCCATTTGTTAGTGGAATTATACATTTTTCAATAAAAAATTTCTTTTCTTTATTCTATATCTAAATTATCCAATCTACGTTGAAAATTACCAACAGAAATGCTGTTATTTTTCAATTGTATTCAATTATTGTAAGTTGAATAAATAATATTTTTAAGAGTACTGAAATTTGATCTATCATACTAAAAATATAAAAACCTTTTATTGTCTTTCGTGTTTCAATGAATTGTTTCAACTTCAATAATTATAATAGCAGTAATAAGAATAATAGTGATAATAATAAAGATAATAAAATTTGTTCCATTTACAACGAAACATAAAACGGTACATTTATGTACCTATAAAGCTGACTAAGAATATTTGCATGCATTTGATTAAGTAAAATTGAATAGCAATTTGTAGCGAACTTCGCGAATTTGCGGCGTGAGTTTAATACAAAAGCATAAATGCTTAATAAAATATCAAAATTATTTTGAAAACAATTAGATTTAAACACGCATAAAATTTGTAAATAGCTCTTATCTCGATATTTATACTAGTTATTTTGTATTGCTATAATTGAATTGAGCAATACATGTTATTTTACTCACAGATTATTATGCATTTACTTGTGAGTCCGTATATTTTGTATATTCGTCCATTTACGAACATTATACTGAGTTTGTTTTTGAAAATTTATCACAATACATCGAGATAAAGATCGATGTAGATTAATACATACAATTTCATGATGATCAAAACATAAATTTTTCAGTTTCATTCTGGATCAGTTTCTCCTTCTCCAATCGGCAATATTGTAACAAGTCCAGCAGCTGCTACTTTAGCTTTATATGTCTCCGGTTCGAACCAGCGAATCGGTTCCTGTCAAATAAAATCAATGTTGAACTACATAATTGTCAATAATATAACATTATTAAATAATAAACATGACAGTTCTACTTTACCTTGAAATGTTGTTATAAGCAGCATGCTTTGAATTTGTAAAGCAAGTGTTAAATGATGTATGTAAGTGCATGCCTTCTTAGTGTAGTAACACAAATTTTTTTCAGATTTAAATTTAAGTAAAATAGGAAGTTGTCACACTTTCGTTATAATATATATGCACTGTATTATTTTTAAAAATATAAAGTAAAAATGTTTTATTATCTTTAAAATCTCATAAAAGTGTTATACAATAATATTCACTATATAAATTGTTTTTAATCTCTTATGTTGTTTATAAAATTTAATACCCTTTCTCGCATACTTCTAAAATAATAAAAATTACAATAACGTTTTCTTAAACACATTTAATAGCAAACTATGTAATATCAAAGCAAATCATAATGTTTATGAAATATAAAAACAATAAGTACTTAAGAGAATATAAAATTTAAGATCATACAATTCATAACAAACACAACATAATACATTTTCGCTTTTAATCTTTAGTATATACGATTAACCGTATTTTCAGTTACTTAAAAAAGAAAAATATTGAGATCATTTTTACTTTTCAAATATAAAATAAAAGAATTTATTTAAAGAAAATTAACTTTTTATAGATTTTCTAATGATACTGTATAATATAAAACTCTAATTTATCTAACAAAATAGATATATTGTACTAATGCAATAAAGTTCAATAATAAAAATACTAATTAATACATTAGTACAATTTGCGTATTAGTACAGACTGGAGGCAAGTTATTATTTTAAATAGATAATTATTAAATAACACAAAAAACAAATCTTACATGTAACGAATTGTCTAAATAATACTGACAAAATAAATTTTTTGGTCAGAACTGTCAAATATCACATAATTCGTAATAGTAACATCAAATTTTTGGTTTAAGTACATACACAACTTATGTGTGAATCTACTAGCGTATGTTTTTTTTATAAACATATCAATTGAATT